GGGCGCCTTCCTTGGAGATAACTGACAACTACAAAGGTCCCCTCCTGACAGGCTCTTGTCAATACAAATTTCCACTATTGATAAGTAATTAAAGAAAGCCTAAACATAAGGGGGTTGCTTTCTGAAACATCTGTTAAACAAGAGACATTAACACAAACGTCTAAGTGACAAAAAAAGAAGACAATGAGAAAAAAGGAGAAAATGAACCGCCCCTCACCCTCACTTACTTTAGCTGTCATCACACAGCCTTACTACTATCAGCGAATACTCTTTACAACAACAGGTGCATTGAGTCTACCACTGATGTTTCCACTTTACTTTTTCTACATTTTCCAGACAGAAGATTAAGTGGTAAATACTTTCTACTGAGTTCAATGAAGAGCCAAATAATTTCTAATAGTTCCAGATTCATACTTATGAGGATTTGCAGCTTTTCTTTTGTTACATTTTCTCTGTATTTTTCAGCCACATGCAACCAAATCTGAACCCTAATCAAAGGACACACAGCTCCCAGTAAGGTACATGTTCTGTAAATGTGAACATATCTAAAACCCAAAACTGAGATCCTGATAGAGAATATGATATGATCTGGTTTGAGCATCTTTTCTATGAGTTCAACAAACTGAACGCGAAAGTGGGTTTTTTTACTGAGCTATGTATGTGACACAATAACACCTCAGGCAACAAACAAAAACCCACTGACTTTGAAAACAAGTTAAAAAAAATATGATCTCATTTTCCGGTTGTAAGACTACTCCCTGCAGCACTCTATTGGCAACTTCATTTCTTTCTCTTTGGTACTAATGCAGAAATATAGGTTTATACTTCTTTTGATGAAGGTTCACTCGCTCACTAAGTGAGACCTCGCTGGCCTGTTGAAAGTGATATAACGACGATGTGAATAGTTGCTGTCGAAACATACAGAGTGGATGTTTCTATATTTTTGAAAAAAAGGTCACAGAAAACGTTTGAACTAGAAGATTTATCAAAGAAGCTGCGTATACTTTTCTCATGAGGCATCCTTTAAAAAGGTAACTAATACCTTCTTTAATGCTTGATTAATCTTGTAGTGATCCAGATCCAGTTCATTAACCAGGACAACCACATATTTCTAGAGTCTATGAGGGAATCACTATTTTACTTCTTGAGCACATCCTACAAGTATATTTGGCAAAGAAAGTCCTTGAATCTTACCCTTTAAACCTGCATGAGGTGGTGTCACCTGCACACCTTTAGCAATGTGACTTTACCTTTAGTCTTTTACTCGCTGTAATCTGTGCATGTGTAAGTGGATGACTCCTCTTTGAGAGGTTTTTCAACACAACAGGAGGGACTCAAATCCACTAACTTCTCATTTAACTCTGCACCAAAGTCTTTCATGCAAAACCAGTCACCACATTGTGGTGATTAAACCTGCTACACTGATGCCTGAAGGTGCATGATGTTAGTGGGTGTTGGTCTCATTAGTTGCTGGATGGACTTTGAAGATGAAGTTTTGAAGCTGTTTAGACTGAACCCTGATCATCTTGATAGGCAGAAGGTGAACCATGCCTGGCAGAAGGGGAAATGATCCTGGAGGAGAAGGAGGAGGTGGCTGTGAGTGAGTATTGGCGGCTCTGGGATGGGGAGGGTCACACACAACCACACTCTTTGTGTGCCTCTAATCCCCCCAGCCAACACAGCTTTGGCCAGGTTTCATCATGAAAGTGCCATGAAATAACTACTTTTTTTCTCTCCTCTCAGTAAATCTCCCCTAATCCTGCGGGCTGTGGAGACAAAGGCCTCTGGGACCTAATCCTGGAGCTTTTAGTGGGGCTGAGGGGCTGGCCGACAGAGCCTCTTCTAAATGACTTATTTCTATCGGACACTAATATAGCTTGACAGCCAAGAACAGCGAAAGGAGGAGGAAAAAGAGCCAGGGGAGGAGAGAGCACAAACATTTTCACATATTTTGGAAGTCTGAGAAGTTGTATGTGTGTAAGATGTGAACCATCGTTATGCGTGTCTGTTGTTAAAGGATACAACAACCAAGACGTCTCACGAGGGTATCTGTGAATATTAATAAAAACCTGAGCCATGTCTTTGTGTGCAGTTGGTTTGGGTGGAGGAATGTACCTGTAGCATCTCATTTTACACAAGTTCATTAGATGATAGAGACAGGGGAATGGCTCTGCTATACGTCATGATAACAAAGAGATGCAACAAGTTGTTCTCAATGCAAAACAGTTTTTATAGAGAACTTCACACTCTCTATGTTGTTAATTATGAAAACTTGCTGAATAGAATCTCATTATAAGTAAACTTCACCAGGTTTTTTTTTTTTCACCACAAAATATCAAGTAGTGTTTGTTGCTCAGGTCCCCAGATGCACAACTTAAAAATGCACATTCCAAAGGACTACGATGTGTCTTAACTTTCTGTGAAAGAAAACCTCCAACAATACAGGGCACCCCAGGGTGTTTTTAATGTAATGGCATATCTGACATACAGTGTGTGATTAAGGTATTCTTTTTTTAAAAAGATTGTTTTTGGGCTTTACTTGCCTTTACTGAGTTAGGACAGTGGACAGAGTTAGAAACTGGGCAGAGAGAGAGAGAGAGAGAGAGAGAGAGAGACCATGGGGAATGACATGCAGGAAAAGAACCAGAGGTCGGTCTCGAACCCGTGCCACCCGCTTTGAGGACAACATCCTCTGTGCATGGGGCGTGCAAACTAACCGCTAGGTCACCGGCGCCCAAGTGGTTAAGGTATTCTATAAAATGTGGTCCTCATTCTTAGACCGTCAGCCATTGTAATGAGGTGACTGGTAGATCATAGTTAAAAATACAGTCGCTATGGAGATGAACAGTATCCGATAATGCTTGAGTGTTAGTGATGCTACAGTGTGCAGGATGGTAAGACTTGGATGTTGTCTATTTATCTATATTATTTTACTTTGTTAATTATAATTCTCGGTTTTGTGATGTGGACCATAGCCTCCCCCAATTTTATTAAAATGTGTGTTATTTGTTGTTGTTCTGTGATTTTTAGGTTATCTTTGTTTGTAGTATGCATATAGGGAAGTGATGCAGTCTGATGGAGATCTGATCTCCCTCTATGTTCTTTTTTGGCATCACATAGATCTCCCTTTGTCTGTTGTGTTGGCCTGCGTCGTATCTTTCTGTGTATCAGAAAAGTTCAATAAAGATACTAGGGAGAAAAAAAAATCAAGTAAACTCACCTCGTAACTGAGAATTTTCCCTGAGCTTTGTTTGCAGTATTGTGAACTTACCTTTTATATTCCAGGAATCCTTTATTAAAGTAAACTTCTGCAGTACCTCTCATGCCTTTTTATTTAAAAAAAAAAAAGCATCATGTGATGTGACACCACCAGCATCCCTACAACTTCAATGATAATTATAAAGTAGAATTATCACCTTTCTGATCATGTCATCAGAACTGAGAATGTAGAAGATGCGTAATAGAAGAATTTATGGTAGAGCTGTTGTATTGGATTGCATTTGATTGCATATGGTGCTCATACTGTTATGGCTGATCTGTGTATATTTCACTAAGTGATTATTCATTTTGTGTGTGTATTGGTGGGTCTTGCATGTTTGAATTCAGTGTGGTTACTAAATAATTGTAGCAAATAAATCCTATATCAGAAGTATAAAGTGGCATAAAGTGCATATTCGTAATCTAACAACGGTTATTGTGTGAAGTATAGGCTACCTACTTGAGTTAATGTCTCCAGGCAGTCTATAAAATGTATTCAGAAGACTTACTTATGATGCCATTTAAAGGTCTTTCTTGATTCCGTTCCTGGGAACACTTCTAATTTAGCTCAGAAGGATCTTGATCCTCAAATTGTCCTCATGAAGCAGAGTTCAGATTAACTTCACACGGTGACAGTTTACAGGGAAAATATGGAGCCTGTTAGCAAAACAAACCCTCAGAGAACCCCCCCCCCCCCGTGAGGAGAGGGGCTGTCAGATTCAGCGGTCTGGGAGAAAAGGGGCTGAGAAGGAGAGCACAATCAAAGGCTGTTATTTTAATCTGTGCTGCCTCGGAGATTAGCCCACTACATTGTTTTAATTGTTTTAACGGGAGGGAATGAAACGCTCGCTTATAGGGGATCCTTGGCATAAATCTCCCAAGTTCAATAGTTTCAAAAAACTTGAGCCCCTTGCAACCCCCCTCTCTTCCCTCATCCCACCTAATCCCGGCTAATACCTTTCTTTCTATTGGTTAATGGCTGAGGGGAGCCTGGGTAAATGCTTCTTAAATAGTCGTGGGTGAGAATGGTTTCGGGGAATTAGATCCATACCACGACAAGGAGACGCTGGTGTGCGAGAGAGGATATAGTTTATAGGCTCCAAATTTAACTGGGCGATACTGGATTTACTACTCAACAAGGCCTGTGTTGTGCGTAAAAGCGAACCGGGATCTCACGCCCCTTCTCCGAGTCCAGATCTCAGGTAAACGGAAAAGGACATTTAAACAAATGTGTGATGGTCCAATAGGCTATAATCTGGCTTGAGTGTTCATTATCCGTCTTAAATTGCAGCTTTTAGGGCTATGAGATGCAAAACAGGTGTTAGGCAGCTGGCGTTAAAAAAAAACGTCAGTGTAATTTAAAAAAATGCCTATAGAAATAATAAGTAATGAAATGACAAGTCCACAATAATAATTGACTGAAGGCTGAAAGACATTGACGTTGATGATAAAAAAAAATTAGCAATTGAAAATAATGTTGATGCCACAGAATAATTTAAATATTGTGTCGCCACATGGTAACTTGTTCATTAAACCAGATACATCACCAATTTCTCCCTTGAATTTAAAAGCAAGTCCTTCGGGAGTGTTTTCAGAAAGCTTTACAGATTGTTCATCTGGGGATTGGGAATGAGGGTATGCTCAATGTGGGATCCAGTAGGATACATTTTAATGTGGCTAATAATGGAAAGACATCATCCTTCGGTGCGTAAAATAAGTATTTCTGTCTCCCTAACTTCAGTATGAACTCCCTGAATTTCTGCGGACCGTCCCGTGGAGGTGTGTATCCTCTGCACGGTGTGAACTCCTTGCTGTTGGACCTCCACCAGCAGATGGCGGAGCAGTACCACGTTTACTCTGCAGCCAGCCCCGCAGTGCACACTCTGTCTGTGGCCGAGAGGCTGGCAGGTGGGTCATCATCATGTCTTGCTAATAGAAAGTGTCTGTAGAAACAAATAAGTATGAAGTTCAAGATTATTTTGTCACTCTCAGTTTTCAATTCAATGTGATTCTTTAATGAGGAAATAGCCTATAATGTACAACACATTCGATTTATATCACAATACGATTTAATCTCGATTTGTTTGAGTTAGACATGAGATTGAATTCAATTTATGAATGCATATGATTGTTTTAATTCTATTTTTCTGACAATAAAAATGCAAAATATCCCTTTTCTTATTTTCTTTTTAAATAAGTTATACTTGTTTTAGTTCAAAGCTATACCTACTAATAAAACAATGCACATGTGTTCTTTAAAATAAATAGCGACACTGATGATATCTTACAAAACATACTGGGCGATTGATGTCAGACAAGAGACGTCAAAAGCAGATAGTGCCCTCTGCTGATTAAAAAAGAGTATTGCCATATATATATTTTTAAATAAATTGAACTTGTCCATGGTTCCATCTATTTTGATTGTATTGTGCGGTGTTGATATATCCCTAGCTGATGGTCACAGTAGGGTCAACAATAGTTCATGAGCAGTATAAATTAATAAACATTTTGTTTTAGTTATTCTCGTTTTAGCATTGCACTTTTTTTGGCCCACAGTTTGAAAGTAGGCTTTATTTGAGTATTTCTGTCTAACTCACTTTGTACTTCTACTTTCACTCACTTTGGCTGCAAATATTGTGCTCTTTGCATTTTTTAAATTATTGATGATATTTTTAAAGTACTTTGAAGATTTACATGGTAAACTGTAACATAAAAGTGGTGAATGCATTTTTAATTATAGCAAAATAAAAGAATGTAAGGTATTAATCTGAAATAGAAATTGGACTCACTTTGTATTCTCTTCCTTGAAGTAAAGTATATTGATGCTAATATTTACTTTTGATTACATGAACATTTGAATAGATGATTTATTTGTGACGCTGTATCTGTAAATCTATTGTTCTTTTAATTTCTCGTGAGTAAAACATTAAATAGTACTTTTCCCACCATTGGTTATTTACCAAATAAAGACTTTTTAAATCAGCACCAACATTGTACAACATTCTACTTTTCATTCACTACACTAACTATTTTTTTTATAATACATTCACGATTGTGAATACAGGATTAGAACTCACACCTGGACAGGTCTTTGACTTACATATAGCTTACTATAGTTACATTACATAGTAATATGAAACATTTTGTAGTAGTTCAAGAAACTTTTATTTTGATGATGATTTTTTTGTTTATTTCCCTCCGTCCTGACAGAGCTGATTCTGGAGGCTCGATACGGCAACCAGCAGAAGCAGCGCCGCAGTCGCACAGCATTCACAGTGTCACAGCTGCAGTCTCTGGAGAAAGCCTTCCAGCAGACACAGTATCCAGACGTCAGCATGAGAGAGAGGCTGGCTGTGAACATCAACCTGCCTGAGGCTCGCATACAGGTGAGAGAGCACTGCATCCCAACACCTGAATTTGAATCTGCTTAAACCACGCTGAAGGTTTCAATAAAAACATGCTTTATTAACTTTTATAAAATCAATTTGAATTCTCAGACTGGTTACTATTGGGAAGCGATGGATGGTTACAATCTTAGCAACACAAAGACGTTTTATTTGAATGAACAAAAGAAAATCTATGCAAATGTACACAGATATGAATTTGTTGTTTAGTTACTTCTAGCTGAGATTTCTAACCGTTTTTACTACAACTACTACTAAACTGGAAGAAACTACACCATTGACCCTTTAGATCAGATTTTGTTTTAGGTCATAAATCTGACAGAGTTTATGTATTAAGATTTTCTATTTCAGTACATATTTAAAAAAAAACTTCAATCAAATAGTCATGAATTCTGTTATGGTGTTGATATGAAAAGAAAATTATTTTTGACCATCTGGAATCCTTTCAAGGATGCTTGGGTGTCCCTGGAACCTACTTTAAGATACACTATAGTTCATGATCTTATTTGTGCTGCTACCTGCTACGAGGACTCTTTTGAAAACCATATTTTTAACCTCATCTACTCCCTCATGGTTAAATTAGGTTGAATAAATGGAAATAAATAACATAAAATGTTCCTTTAATTCCATATTTTTCTCAAATTCTGTGTAAAGTAAACATTTCTTGGCATTATATCTGACTGTTAATTACCTTTGCTGTCGCTCACCCAGGTGTGGTTCAAGAACAGGCGCGCAAAGTTTCGTAAAGGTCAGAGGTGTTCCCCGCTCTCCAGAGATCACGGTCTGGAGGAGGCGTCACATCAACAAAAGGTGGGACAAGAGGAGAGGACAGAGGAAAAAGATGACATCAGCAAATCACCTGCTGACATCCCTCCTCCCTGCTCTCCTACTCCTCCTCCTCCTCCTCCCCATGTGAATACAACCGGGACATTTGCCCTCCTCTGACTCCTTCAGACTCTGATGTTTCACGTTTCTCCCTCTGCCTCCACTCCCCTCCGCTTTTCCCCTTCATGGCAGGAGAGCGATACAGCCACCCGCCTCACCAGCCTGTCGTAGGCGTTCTGTCCACCGAGCTCCCCCTCCCCCCGGTGTTCTGGCCGGTCATACAGCAGCACGGCTCCGGCCAGGGGGTTAGTAAAAACTGCAGCTTCTCCCTTTAGACTGCTCGTTCAGGTAAAGCCATGCCTCACCCTCACCTGGGGCTGTAACTGGAGACCTCAACAGTTCAGGATCTCTGCTCCCTATGGACTCAGGTAGACCTGAAACAACCCTGCAGTGTCGGGCCAGGCAAAGGGATAAGGTGGAGAAGCACTTATTGCCTTGTTTCTTAAACCTGACATAAACAGTGAACACAGTTTGTTTTCTAGTGAGCTTCATGAATGTGTGTCGGTTTAAAAGGATCAGAAGCTGTAAAGTTTTTTTAAGTACTTTTTTAAAACACAAAGTGTAATTGGGTCTGCTTAAATCACTTTAAGGGGTTGGTTTTAGTTGACAAGATTAACGAGCTGTTGACTTCATAACATTTTGAGTCCAAACAGAACAACAACAGTTTGTAACACCTTATTTAAAGACACCATCGTGTCCTCCAGCCCTATATGAGTGAGTGGCAACACACTGAAAACAATGGTGAAGGCTTCTGACGTAGGATTCTTGTTGTTAATAAAAGTTCAGCATTGACATGTGAAATAAAATGATTTGTACCTGAATTCTCCAGTTTCTTATTTTAATTTTAAAAAGTTTTGGGGGGGGCAAACTTGACAACAAAAATAAAACTTTAAAAAAGTTATATATATATATATATATATATTGTTTATGTAATGTGCACAGCTTCTTTAGTTAGCTATCTGTTGGTTTACATCTGTAGTTTTTTTGTCAGGAAAACAAAGTAATGAAATATATTTATTAGTTGAGTTGCTCTGCAATCATATATGGTCTTGATTTGATTTGTTTAATTTGCATAAATCTGCCAGATTATGATATCAATATTGAAAATAAAGCATTTTAATGTCATTGCTTTTTCCCATGACATTTACATCTTAATAGTTCCTTTCTATATAAAAAAAACACTTACACTTAAGCTGTCTGACTTTACATGGACTCTGGTGTTTTGGCATTGATTTCTCTAAAACCCTATTCAGAAAGGAACAACTGACACTAAAAAAAAGCTTTACTTAATATTTTTTTGGAACAAAGTAAGACAGGATATTCCTAAATCTAACAAACGTTCGACTGTAAGGTTTTTACAAAGGCAAAATGTCTGTTTCGATTAAGAGTTTAGACTATTTTTGGTATATTTCATGCAGCACCTGAGTCAGAAAAATACATCTTCTCTAATGTCAATCTTATGAACTCTGGGGGCAGCTTTCCATGCCAAACAGCCCGTTGCATGTTTAATTGGGTTATTTATTTATTGTCAATTGTAAAAAATAAAAATAATTTTAAAAAAAGGCAGTAAATTACAGGACTACTGTATGCTCAACAAACATTTCTGAGAACCAAGACTAGTAAATTACTTTCTTGAGGTGCTTGGTCACTCACAACTGATATTAGAGTAAATAATAGAAACTAAGTAAGCAAGTGACTCAAAACAAACTCTTATCAAACTTAAGACACACCTGTAGCATTAAAAAGTCAGTTTTGAGGAAATAGCATTTAGGTAGCATAAAGAACCCCCTAAATTGAAAAGTAAACAAGCAAGCTTAAAAAAACAAAAAACAGTGTTGTGTTTCAAACATTCTCAAAGCTTTAAAGGAAACGTGTCAACCAAACACACCAGTTTGAAGCAGTTATGAGCTACGCATGCCTGATGTTTTGCCTTATTCCTCAAACCAGCTGCGTAGGTTTTACTGCGGAGTGGAGTGCAGTGTGTGTGTGTGTGTGTGTGTGTGTGAGCGTGTGAGCGACGCTGTGCAGCTGAGGGAGGCTTAAAGAGACAACAGCAAAATCATAGCAACTTGAGTGGGGGGGGGGCCCAAGAGAAACGAAATGAGAGAGACAGAACCATGACTTCGACTGGGTTTCGATAGCTACAGACACAAAGGTAAACACGCGTACAGTTTACGGTTGTAAATGTGTAACTATAATCGCTTCTCACCGGATATTAAACGTTTCGTGTGCTAGGTTGCTAAATGGTTAGCTCTCTCTCTCTGTGTGTGTGTGTGTGTGCTAAGCGGCGAGAGATCCCAGGCAGGCAGGCAGGCAGTCGGTTGTTTAGGATTAAGGAGTTGCCCCAGCAGTGGTCCAGGATGAAGCCTTTAAGTGGAATATAAACTTAACAGGTGAAAAAAACAACGACTTTATCATAACGTGACTCCACTTGACGTGATTAACTCATTTGAACTTCACTTGGGGGATGTTATAATTCTGTTATTTACTAAACCGTGTTAGTGTAGGATAAAGACATGGCTATCAATCAGTCAGTCAATATGTTATACTCTTTTTTTTTTTTACCCCCACTTCCGAGGCTGTTTCAGATCGCATTGGTTCGCTTATGGTTGTGTTATTATGGCACAGTGTTGTTAAAAAAAGATCAGCGAATGGTTTTTTTCTTTCTTTCTATGAGGCCGAGATGAACCGTGTTTTCTGGCGTTAGCTCGGTTAGCTTTCATCTGCTGTGTGACGTTTCGATTTTGCGGCGACGTGAAGTTTAAAAACACCCACGACGAGCATAACACCCCCCCTCCCTGTGTGGGTTTATTTTTGTATAATATCTCTTTTTAAAGGTGGCTCAATTTATAAAAAAATAAACTGTCTACGACTAATTGATTTCATTGCTAAATTGAGATGGCTAACTGTGGTTGTTAGGTAGCCGGGAGAGGGGTCTGGCCTTGTCCGGCTAACCAAGCTTGTTATGTTAACCTTTTGGTTTCCTCCAAGGCTTATTATTCGACGGGGTTTGTTTAAAGCTTTTGTTTTCCACTCTAATCTTGTATCAGTAACAAACTTCTTGCTACCATAAGGAGAATACAGCCACTTTAACCCCCCCCCACCACCCGAAACTAACCCTACCTGACAGCTAGGTGGCTATTAGCTCGCAGTAGAAATGCTCATAATGAAGATATTACGAATTATTACATTGAAAAGGAAAATGTGCTAGTATGAGTCGGTGTTTTTACATTTTATTGTCACATTTGCTCTCCTTTTGGGATGTGTATTCATGTGTTTGACTTTTGATTAAGTCTTATATTGTGTTATTACTAAGCCAAGTCAAGAAAAAGAAAATACTTGAATGTAAACATCGTCAAGGTGCTTAGTGTCTCAATCTGCCCAAAGCATAGTTTACATGAGATCACAATCACGAATTTGTTTTCCCCTGGAAAGTGGCTCCTTAAAAAGTTAATATGTGTGTACTCTATCACTGTGTTTGTAGCTTTTTTTTTCCTCATAAGAATTGACGTGAAAAACGATACACAACTTCCTGAAATAAGGCAGTCTAGACATACAGGCCAAGATTTCCAAAAGAGTTACATGAGACAGTGAGTTATTTTGATCTTTGTTGGTGTTTCTAGCCTAGGGACACCTCCATTGTTTCTCAGAGTAAAACATGACACTTACATTTAAAAAATGCACAAACTATTGTGGTGTGAGTCACCTTGAAAGATTAAGTGTTTGACAGGTTTCATGTAAATTGTGTTGATTATTATTAACAGTGTTTAACCCCCCTCTCCCAGTTATGTAACTTGTGGCTGGTCTTATTAGTTACAGTTAGTAATGATATGTGTCATGCATCAAGAAAAACATTGCAGTGTAATTACTGACTGCATACCTTGCATACAAATGTGGACTTTTTCTTAGGTGTGGTACCATAGTGAAACATACGAATGACACATACTTTTCAGATGATTTGTTGAGGTTTGTTATTGAATATTTGCTCCCCACAGAAACTTTTCAGGCTTCTGTAGCTTAAGTTATTCTAACAAAGCCTTTGCCTCGTCATAGAAAATGTCTTCTCTTTAATTTGACGTGGCATAAACTTTCTTTAAAACTGATTTCAATCATATGGGTGTCATGTGTCAATCCCCATTTGTCATCAGATCGTCTCTGGCATATTTTTTTGTTTTATTATTTTTTACATTATTTCTGTCTGTCAGACTAAGCTGAGCCAGTTGTACACCAGACTGAGTCCAAATCCCTCAAATTACATAAGTCCCATTGATGCAAATGTTATGATGAGATGAGGCATTACAGCAGTCATTGATCCGTTTAAGTGCCTTTCCGTAGGAAATAGTTGCTGCTCATCACTAGTGCCTGCATTACCTGGTCTCTGGACATGGAGGAGTTAAGAGTGAAATGTCTACATGTTATTGTGAGCAAAAAGATGCACAGGGAAGGTCAAATTACAATGCCAATAAAATAGTGAAATTATGTGTGTTATTGGCTGAGTTTGTTACTAGAACTGCTTTTACAATTGTTTACTATAATGTGTTGTCAAAGTTTTACGTCTATTTTCTTCTTAAACTCACCCTTTGAATTTGTGTTTTTATTTTAAAGTTATCTGAGGGACGTCTCATCTAAAGAAGCTGTTGAGGATTCATTGTTACAGTCAACCTAAATTTAACTTTGTGTAAAATAATTTAACTTAATATTTGAATATCTCCATGGACAAAGTGTTTTGGGGCAAGATCATGTTTGTTTTGTTAAGATTTCCTTTTTTTTATCTGTAAGAGCTTTATATAAACATTGCATTGTTAAAGCAAACATCTGGGTTTTTTCATGATACTGTAGGGATGAGCAATGGTTTGTATTCATATGTGACTTTTTGATTTGTGTCGTTCTTACAGTCGGTGCAGAAAACAGACTGATTTTTGTCTCTTTTGATTTCGCAGATCTCCAGCGGACATCAAGCCCACCCTTTTCTTGTAGTTGTATTCTCTCTACTCTGGATTGCCTCATCTGCTGTGGTCCTGAAACATGGAGAGAATCCACTGTGTCACTGAAGGCTGACCAGAAGGAATGAGGCACTCCAGGAGATGTTCCCAAGTGGCCTTGTGGATGCAGTAGCTACGCTTCATAGTGCGTTTTTATGACTAGTATTGTATGTGTGTCTGTGGGCACATCCTAGCACAACCTGCCTATTCCTCAGGCAGGGGTATGCTACTCTGAGACTGGAGCCGGAGAAACACCCAAGAAAGGAGGCTCTCTGCTAAACCAGGAACATAAAGCAAAATCTGAAGTACCCAGCAGAAGAGCTGTCTGATCAACAACGGGACACTCATTTAAGTGTCTTCTGAACCATTTTAACAGCAGCACCTCTCCTCTGTCTTGTGAGATTTGACCCACCCCCCTCCTTAAAGCCTCCTCGGTCGCTGCTATTGGAGTTTCTATGGTTTGCATGGCTGGAGAATAACCGTGGAGAGGCCAGGGTATCACAAGCTTATGGATTTTGACAAGAGAGGGGGCAAGGGAGAGACAGAGGAAGGGAAAAAGATGTCTAAGACAGCAGGCAGCAGGACTGGACATGGGGGCCGGAGTTCAGGGACCAATTCTGGAGTTCTTATGGTTGGCCCAAACTTCCGTGTGGGTAAAAAAATCGGCTGCGGGAACTTTGGAGAGCTCCGGTTGGGGAAAAATCTCTATACTAACGAATACGTGGCCATCAAATTGGTAAGTGCATCCTAAGGGTCTGTGAAGTAACACAGAAATATAAACCCAAAATTCCACTCACACTGCTTTTATGGTACACCTCCAGTCTGAATAGTCTCACTGACCTGGTGTTTAATATGCGTCATTAGTATTTAAATTCATTAAGAAAGATTGTCATATGCAGCAGACTCTTAAATATGACCTTAGAGAGACAGACACAGGAAGAATATAGAAACTGTGCCCCCCTCCTTACACACACAGATTGGCCTCATGTTCTGTTAATGAGTCAACCATGCTGTGCTTGTGATACTAAAGAGCTGAAGAGTGAGCTAAGACAAGACTTGATAAAATCATAAACCACATGGTGACTGCTGTTTTAGTTTTTAAAAGCATTTATTTGATAATTTTAGCTATTAGCAGTGCTTCTTAGAAATTGTAGAAAGGATTACTTGATGTCCATTGGGGACAGATTTATGTCTCTTATAAAAATACAGTGTACATCAATATCTAAATAAAAAGCTTAATTTGTAACGTTCCTACCTACCCATCTTACATCTTCCTCAGTCAGTAGAGTAACTCTTAATTTTTGTTGAAGCATTTCCTTTAAAACCCTAACACCAGGCCTTTTAAGCAACTGATGATATGCAGTGTCTTTTTGTTTTTGTCTGCATTAGCACCTTTTTTTTTTTTTTTTTATAGAACCACTGATTTAGTAGCATTTACAGACTTGGGAAAAAAAACACATGAAATGTCAAGGCTCTTTTCTTTGATTCTAGGCTAGCCAGTAGCTGTTCAACCACTTCCTTTTCACATCAACTTTTTCTCTTCCCATCTTTCTTTGCTACAAATATGTTTCCAATAGTAGCACTTTGATCACTGTGCTGGATATCTTATTTTTTTGTACACAACAAATTACTGTAGTCAAGTAGTCATACTAAAGCTGATGGGAGCTTGGCGACATCTCAACCACATTTGGTCTGTGTATACTTCTTACATTTGTATCTCCCAGCGAGGTCATTATCTCAGAGCGGGTATACAATCCACTGAAGACTTTGCTAACCACACAGAAGACAGAGGTTAGCAAACAGTCGTAATTGCAGTTCTCCTCTCTTCTGAAATCTTTAGCTGCGCTTGCTGCTTCCCCCTTTGCCTGTGAAACCTCCCATCTGTTTGGATATTTTTATCCCCACGGTGTCCAGCTATATCTGGATCTGGCATTAGGGCCATGACACTGCTCCACGGCTCTCTTGGCCCACTGGACCCAACGTTTATCTGCATGGTAAAATGTGAGAGGAGGAAGTGTGCTAATGGTGTGAAGAAACATGACAAGGCCCAGCTAATAGTTCATCCTGAGTGTGAGGACTTATGTGTGTTTAGAGTTTGATTTAGAGGACACATTTCAGATAGTTTTACATTTTTATTTTATTCCTTTGATTTTTTGTTACGATGACTCTATAAAGGTTCATTCTTGCAACATAAATTCTAAAGCGCTGCTCTCTAGTTGATCAAGTTTTGCTCTTGTTCACTGGTGTTATCACACATGAGATGGAGAGGGTTTCTGCCTTGTCGATTCTTGGGGAAACCTAGACTCTGGCACGATTGTCTGTCCACATGTGTCTGTGTGTCCCTGAATGCCTATGAACAAAGGCTGCAGAGCCTGTATGAAGCTACAGCTGGAGGAACTCTGCAGGGCTAAATAAAACAGAAACACAAGAACTTGAAGTCTACATGTTTTTAAATGAATGCTTCACTGTGTGATGATGTTCCTGATAAACATAAAAAGAGGACACTATAACTAAATCATAATTTCAAAGTGGTGAGGAAAACCTTCAAATTGTGCATAAATATTGATCAAGTTGAGGGAAAGACATTTCTGTTGCTAAAGATGTTCTGGGTGAGACCTCCAGACCTCCTACAAAGATGTTTTTCAAATAGATTAAACTTGTCAGCACAGTTTTTGTGCATTTAAAAACATTATACAGAAAATAAGTTTGGTTGAACTGGTCAGTGACTTACAAATGAATCTTAAGATCAGTATGAAAAAAATCGTGATCGTGATTTAGCCAAAAAAAAATTGTGATATGATATTTTTCCCATATCGCCCACCTCTATGTCACTGCCTGTCTAGTAAGGCCTCATACTTTTTCAGAAGCTGTTGCTGAGCTCTTCCTTACAGGCTATCACAAATAACAGCCCTGTTATCTACAACCAACTGCTAACACATGCTTGACATGAGTAGTGTGTCTGTCAGTCACTTCAGTGGTAACTGCTCCCTTCTAGATAGAATCCGAAAACACTGTTTGATCATACTTATCTATGGAGTGTGTTGCCCAGTCTTTTTTTTTGTTAATTTCAAATTACTTAACCAATCATTTAACTTAAACATGTCTAAGATGGCAAATCTATTATTCAGCTCTAAGACATACTTTGAAAAATAACACATTCCCTCTGATAATCCCCTTGTCATTACAATTGAAGAAGAGACAAATGTTTTCTTAACTGGTCAACCATTGGGCAATTATTACTTTCTGACTATTACTTTATGGGTGTTTGACAGAAGTGTTGTTGATCTACAAGTAAGTCAAACTGAGATAGCAAAGTGTGATTTGTTATCTGGCTGGTTAAAACTAGTTTCATCTACTCCAATAAATTGTAGCTGTCAGCCTCTACAGAACAGCACACAGTGATTACTTAGTGCGTTTATGTTCTGAGAGTCTTGTGTGTCAGCCAGTGTTGCCGACTAGGGCATGTGGGTGGTGCCTGCCTGCACCTGGGACAAAGGTGAATGCCAGTGTCACTCTGCTCCACCACGTGATGGCACGGAGGGAGCATGTATGGCAGGCCTGCTGCACAAGATCCTCTGTCAGTGGATCTGGAACTGCTGTGAGTGTTGCTGCAAAAGGCAAGGGAGAAGGGGGAAACGGCTGAGCGCAGAAAGGTCGTCTTTGTTAGCAGGTCTTGTCCACACACAGTGGTTCAGTCTTTGGTTCAGCTGGATACTATCTCACACTGACAAACGTCTGTGTGATGGAGGCAGCACCATATAGCTACTGGTATTGGTACATTGCAGGCTTAACTCCCAAAGGGGGATCCCAGCGTCTTAAAGAAACAGCAGCATTGAATTTCAGCTTTCTGTCAAGTCTTACATTAGACCCATTTAAGTAAAGGACACAACCATCTCATACACTCCCATGGCTTGATGACATAACTGTCCACTGAGAAAATGACCATCTAATCCTCTTTTCCCCCCTGCACACTGAGTCATACTATTTTTATTTGAACTCTGGCTATTTTGGTTTAGCAGTGTTTCTGTCTCTTATCTTACCAATATCTTTATTGTACTCTTTATCAAGGTCATCGGCCTTCTCTTAACCCAATCAATTTGTTAGAATTGTGTGCAGACACAAGCACACACCCACATTATCCATTATTTGAGCTTTGGAATCCAGTTGAATCTATTCTACAGACATTTTCACCACCCCTGTTTGCAAACAGTTTGAGTTACAGCTTGTATTTAATTATAGCTTCTCTTGGTATAGCCAGTTATTCATTGACAGCCAGGGGACACATGTGAGACATGTTTCCTGTATAGCCAGTACTGGCAGTATTAACAAATAAATCAATTGATGGCCTCAAGTGGTGACAAACAGTTTTGACAGTGATGAGTAGCCTTAATATCTGCCCATCATGGGAGCAGAGTAAGTGAGGATTATAGGGTCTGGACTTATACCCCAGCACAGAAGAATAAATGAAGATATGTACTGTTGTGTGCCAGAATAGTACAGAGCAGTGTTTCACCCTTGGTGCTGTATTTTTGTTTGTAATGCTTGTTCAAAGCATGGCTGGATTTCATACTTAAAAATGAAACAACAAGAAAATAGTGTTAGTTCGGGCTTCTCATTTTTGGCTTGTGACTTTGATTACTCCCGCTGAATCAAAAAGTGAGGTGGTAGACTTCTTTATCTTAAGATAACTAAGGTTAATTAATTGAGTTTGCCAAAAAATGCTTTTTTCTAAATTGTACCGTTAAATGTGCTCTACAAATGTCTTCTGTTTGCTTTTGAACATATAAATATCATATTTGAGAAATACCACTCTGCCATTGGGTATGTTTTGTTATTGAGGAAATGTCCGAATCCAACATTTTGGTTTTCTATGACAACGTTTTAAAGGTTTTTTTTGGGGGGGGGATATTCATGCCTTTTTATTTTGAGATAAGAGTGAGTAGGGAATGACATGTGGGAAAGGAGCCACAGGTCGGACTCAAACCCCGGCCGCCCACTTGGAGGCCTCCAGGCTTTTGTTGTTGTTTCGAATTTTTTTAAGTGTTCCTGAGCTTTGCTTTGAATTTGCCAAAAAAGTTTAAAGATGTTTTAGGTATGACATAAATGTTGTATATTGCATTCAAAAATCCCTCCTATACTGTATGGTATGTAATCATATTGTAAGTTTCTGGCAGACTTTTGTTTTCTCTAGCTGAGTCACTGATGCAGAGGCACAGGAGTAAGGTGGTGTGAAGCTGCTCACTGTGCTGGTCAGTCGTGATACTCTGAAGGAAATCTGAGGTGTTGCACTGAGCTAAGTCTGCCGCCCACTGAAGCATGATAAGCAGCTCTTGTTGCAAGCTAGCTCAGCAGCTTAAACCAGCTCTTCATAAGGCTGTTGTCGAAGACTGTGAAACCACACAAGCTCAGTCGGCGTGTTTGGCCAGAATTAGAGTGGCATTTTGACGATTTAAGTTGCTCTTCCCTCCCTGTTTGGGCTCCCCAGAGAGCATGCTGGGCAGTCTAAATGAATCAATCCATGGATGTCAACAGCATGTAAAAGCCTACCTTCAGTCAACTAGCTAATCCTCTAATGAACTAGAAGTAAGCAGCAGCACAGTACTTTGACACAGACTGACTATGTTGCTGTAATCATGATTAAGTAGCAGTCATAAAACCTGCACAGGAAAGTCTGAATGTTGGTGGCCTCAAAGTTGCAACAAGAAAGATGTCTGTGTTTTAAGCAGAAAAACATGA